AGTAGGAGCGGCAGTCTTCAATGGATCCTCTCCAGCGGTGGCTGATGGTGTTGTGGTCGATTTGAGTCCAGCGCTGTGAAGAAATTGGCGGTCTCCATGTAAGGCGGTGGCGTTTTTTGTGCGAGACGTTCGTTCTTGACAGAAACAGTCCGTGGTTCGCACAAAGATGGAGTAGACGTTCTCTGTTGTCAGTCCTGTTGGTTGGGATTGCATGCGGACCACCAGGTAACCTCTCTGCTTCGTCCAGGGATCCCACTTGAGCATTGAAATCTCCAGCGACCACCACGATGTTCGTTAACCGAGCGCTTTGGAGCAGCAGAGAGAGGTCTTTGTAGAATTCATTCTTTATTTCTGGTGAATTGCAATCCGTCGGTGCATACGCGGATACGACGAATAAGCATCGACGCCTCGTTCTGATCTGGTGGCCAGGAAAAAATTCGAAAGTAGTTAACCCCATTGGCAAGAACATTACCCCGTCTGTCGTTTATCTGCAATGAGACTAGGTAAGGCCAGCCACGTCTGTTGACACGTAACAGGGGACCCCAAATAGCGTAAAATATGTTATATCAAAAGTACAAAATCTTTATTTTTGGAACGTCTATAAATGTTCTATTGGAGAGTGATTATTTTATTGCATAATGCTTCTTGCAATGGTAATATCGAGGTTAGTTAGAGTTGAACCAAAAAATCAGTTTCTTATTATTCGTTTGTTGTTAAGTCAGTGTGGTAACATGGATAATTTCAAGGTTGATTTTTGACAACTGCCATTTTTCAGTCTCCATCTGAAAGTGATGTTGAATCTGTTTAGCGTGCTCAAGCGGTCCAGAGTGGGGAATGTACTCCGATCCAGTCTCACTTTGGATGTCATGGTCATAGTGCTCATAATGGGGCTGCCGCGAATCCAAAGTATATATCTCAAATTGGAGAGACTAGACGTTTAAAAGATTGGATAATAATTGGTTTGCCTGCAGTTCATCCGATCCCAAATGTATGGCGAGTGTTTGCACGTGAGTGCACCACCACCACCACCACCGTAGACTGCTCCCTGTGGTCACTCCTGGGTGCTTAGTGGTCTAGTTTCCGGTTGTGATGACTTGTTGATCAAACGTTTCAGTGTGTCTATTCAGATCGTGGACAAATAAAAATTCTTTTAATGTATCTCAAAATGTATTAATGAAAGCCATATTGGCCTGAAAGATTTTGCACTTGTGGTGAACTGTTATTATGTCATAACTAGGCGTTTGTAAATGGCCTGAAGCAAAAACTGAATCATCAATATATTAAAAGTTCTTGGCTAGAGTGCTCCTCGGCACCATATTTACCATATTTACTGTTGTTGGCATCTTAAGTGATTATTTCAAAATAAGTCAGCCTCGACTAATCCTTGCAATCATTATATTTTCTTTTGAATAATAAATATATAATCTTGTAGAAAAATGACTCTGGGGTCAATTTGCTATAATTTCGTATGAATAGATGAACCTTCACAGATTTTTTGCCGTTTGCGTCCCTTTTTACGCATACGCCCCTCAGCAAACCTTTATAACCTACCAAATAATCATAGGAACTGCATCATGATTCTTCGATATTCGCTTGTGACGAAGTAATTCTCTGATGTACTAAATGAGTAAACGAGGGCTAAACAAAACGTTTCCGGATACACTGCACACAGATGACCGGGCAAGAAAGACGTCAACTGCACTCTGTTGTGAATATTGTTCAGTGATGCAACTCACAGAACCAAAACAGCCGAGCACAACTCACAAACCATAAGGGTCGCTATACTCGGACTGCAACGATGCGACTCAGTCGATATCAATGAACTGCGATAATTTTCCACGATTACAAATGTGGTTTAAAGTGGCATCAGTGTTAATCGTTTTGGTGATGACGCGCCTTCAAGAAGCAGTGTTTGAGTGGTTTGCGGACTTCAATCGTGACAGGCGGTACTTGGATTATGAGACATGGTGCGTTCGTCTTGTGGAAGTCACAACAGCGGACAACATTGTTGCTGTGCAAACCGTGGTGAAGGAGAATGCACGGGTGACTGGCGAAAGGCATCGGTAACAATCCGCACCATTCTCTATGTGGAGCTTGGTCTCAGAAAGGTTTGCGCACGCTAGCTACCCCATCAGCTGTGAGCAACCGAAGCATATGAATTGCTGCAGCCCTGTGCGTGCTATATATGATGGTGGACCTTGTAATGCAGTTTGTGAAATCATCGGTAATGATTAGACTTTATTTTCTAGACCCCTAAACTTTTGTCCCGCCACAGCGAAGTTGTTATGGTTGTGTGGCAATCAGAATAGTACTGAATTTAGGAATACGAGAACCCGTACTGTACGGCTAAGAACTGAATTAGCTCCAACCCGAACTGCGGACACCAGTGAAATACACGAGGATTTGATAGCATCAAATGCGTATGTTTATTGATGGAATTAGATCATGTTTTATTGAATGTAATAGTCCATNAGTCCATATGGTTGGTTGAACGAGCATCCTCCAATCACGTAACCTTGTGCACCGACGCATCATATGTACCAACTCGGATAACATGTTCGCCCGGTGTACTATTGGTCGAGCTTCCTGAACGGTGGTTGGATAACATAAAACTGTACCTGGTCGCGCATGGATTACGGTCACGGAAGTCTGGATCACCACAGGTTGATTTCTTTATTTCCAGGCATCTTGACGCTTGTGATACCTTGACCGACAGGATAAAACGTCATCGATGGAACTGTCTGCTCCGAAAAATTGTGAAACCCCTGTTGAATCCCCGAACTCTCTCCAAGTACCATCCCCTTCTTGTGCGTACTTCCACATAGAGAAACAGTGTAATTCCATACCTTGCTCGGTTATTGGTTCTCTCAGTCTAGGATTTGTTATATTGTCTTTTTTGTTGATCGCTATCGGTTTTATATATCCACTGTAAGGAAACCGCAAATTGCTAAAGATTCGCCCCTTAGGTGCATACAGCGTTTCTTGACTTGAAACTTTCACTGCAAACACAAGTAACTGGTTACTTTTCTCTGAGAAAAAGGCAAAGCGGGAAATCGAATTTCGAGACTTCGTTAAAACCTCATCGTAGGGGGTAACAACCGAGAAGAAACCGCCGTCGTTTCTCTCTGATGTTGAATAAATTCAGCTCTCGATGGTGGCTTACAGTAGCCTTGGAAAACGAGCTTTATCTTCAAACCTAAATTATATTACAGACAATGCGTAAAGATTATAACCAGATGCAAAGGATAAGGTGTGTAAACCGGAGCTACAGTAACTACTCATCCGTTTAATGGACTGTTCGTGGAAAGTGTTGCTCATGGTCTGCAAAGAAAATACTTTTTTGAAATACGAGCGGCGTGAATTCTGGCTGTTAATTTTAGCGTGGACAACTGGAGTATTTCAACTGGTTCCCTACTTCTTACTTGTCGGTTTCCTTTTATACTTATTTCGTTCGTCTAGTGCAAATCAGCTGTGGAGCACTTACAGAAGGGCTGTATAGATGAGGTGAGTTTAGTTTTTGCTTGCATATTTACTCGTGATGTATATGTTGCTTATATTTCCAATTTAAACAGATTTCCATTTTGCCCATTCGCCAAGCTTGGCAATGGCTTTGCAAACGTTTCATCACCAGCCGAGGTGACATTGTCAATGTTTGCAAAGTGGCAGTGTTCATTTGGTACTTGTTCGTTTACATCTGTGTTTTTCACCGACTATTTTTGTCCCTTGATCTCACTGCGTTCAACTCGCTCTGATGTTGTGCCGGTGCGAGATTGGTGTTATTCCGTCTCGATTGCGGTGTTTTGTTTGTTATCAAGTCATGACGCGACCGAGCACTGCCACCTCACAAGCTCAGACGATATCAACTCGGCTGGTGGCGAAGCGTTTGTAAACCAATTGCCAAGGTCGGCTAATAGGCGAAATAAAATTCAGTTCACCTGATTTAAGAGAACGGATTTTCAGTATTTCCTCTGTCTAAATTGAGTCCCTCCGTTTTATCCTGACTTCATCCCCCAAAACTCATATCAGTCCATTCCCGCACGGTTTGTCAGTCACGCGTGGTCTTTCTTGTGCGTTACATGAACTCCCCAGAGCTGTTACTTCCCGTTACAAAAATATCTACTTCCTGACAGTAATCTTTCTGGGTAAGGTACTCTTTCTAGCAAACATATGAGTCCGATAATAAACTGTCCTGCAAGTGCTCGTGTTATTCCGGCAGCCGTTTGCCTATACATTGCTAACGAATAGCGGTAATTGAATGAATAAAAGAATGTTCACGCCATCCTAGTGTGTATGCTTTTAGGAACCAGAGCAACATCGTGATCAAGTGGTTGAGTACATCATACGCATGAGACATTTTCTATTGTAGTCGGAACAAGTAGAGCACAATCCGTTTCGATTTAAACACTCATCTATGATGGGGTTCATACTTTACGCATCTTTTTGGTAGAATGAAGATTCGCAATTGTTCACAGGGAGTTAGTACTGTGGAATAATTGGATTTGGAGATTCAGGTT